TCCTCAAGAGTGCCCCTCTGCCCTGCTTGGGCTCTGAATCTCCACACCAGGCTGCACTTCCATCCCCGTTGCTGCAGGTACATCATCATCATCCTGTTGGGTCTCTGATACCTGCAGCAAGCCATACACATGCATGGATGTCCTCACTTCACTCAGGCTCTGACACCTTACACTGTGCAACCTTCATACACAGATGCTCCCTTCACCCTGTTCAGGTCCTGACATCCTGCTCTGGGTCACTGAGGTAGCCCCCACCCTATTATGGACAATTACTTTGCTCTACCCCATCTAAAGACTTCAGGACTGAATTGTTCAGGAAGGAAAGAAGACTTTAATTTTTAAAAATTCAAGAGCACTGTTAGGGCAATGAAACTACTCTGTGTGATGCTGTCTATAATGGTGGTTACATGCCATCATACATTTGTCCATACCCATAGAATGTACACCACCACGAGTGAACCCTAATGTAAGCTATGGACTTTGGGTGGTAATTATGTGTCAATATACATTCATCAATTGTAAGCCCCCACTCTAGTGGAGGATACTGACAATTGGGGAGACTACATATGTGTAGGGGCAGGAGTATATGGGAAATATGTGTACCTTCTCAATTTTGCTGTGAACCGAAAACTGCTCTAAAAAATAGTCTATTTTTTTAAAAAGGTAAGAATTTTACTTCTTGCAAGGAAATGCATCTCTATGATGTGATGTGTTGATTTACATAGTATAATCACAATCACTGAAAAATGTCTGTATGAGTAGCTTGACATTTTGCACTACTAATTCTATAAGAAAACCTTTTATAAACTGCAAAGAAAATGAAGGGAAACCAAAAACTGAAACTTACCCTGTCATAAATACAAAAACTATCACAAAATAGCAGCCAAACATTACACTCCTCCTGATGGGAGTACTGACACTAATAAGTACTATCCTGGGGTGGAGACGGGGAGTGTTGAGTTGCAGGAAGAGAGGAGCAGGATTCACAGTGCAGGCAAATTATGAGGGTGTAGATGAAATATGATTAACCTGAACCATGAGGGATAATTGTTGAAGCTAGGTAATGTACACATAGGGAGGGGTTCATTATTCTATTTCTCTACTCCTGTACATGTTTGCAATTTTCCATAATAGTTTAAAATATATACTGCAAAATAAAAGTGAATATATAGCATCAGGAAAAAATTCAAGATCAACAGACTCCCTGACTTCAGACTACACTACGAGGCTATAGTAGTCAAAACAGCATGGTACTGGCATAAAAACAGACACACAGACTAATGGAACAGGATAGAAAGTCCAGAAATAAACACACACAGACAATTCATCTATGAAAAAGGAGGCAAGAATATATGATGGAGAAATGACAGTCTCTTCTGTCAGCTACATGTAAAACTGGACAGCTATATGTAAAAGAATGAAATTAGAATATACTCTAACACCATATACAAAAAAATAAACTCAAAGTGGATATAAGACCTAAATATAAGACTGGATACTATAAAACTCCTAAAGGAAAACATAGTCAGAACACTCTTTGACATAAACTGCAGCAATATTTTTTTTTGATTCATCTCCTAAAGTAATGGAAATAAAAAAAAAACAAATAGGAACTAATTAAAAAAACTTAAAAGCTTTTGCACAGCAAAGGAAATCATAAACAAAACAAAAAGACAACATACAGAATGGGAGAAAATATTTGCAAATGATGTGATCAACAAGGGATGGATTTCTAAAACATACAAGTAGCTCACACAGCTCAATATCAAACAAACAAACCAAACAACCCAATTTAAAAATGGGCAAAAGATCTAAACAGAGAATAGACATTTCTCCAAAGAAGACATTCAGATGGCCAACAGGCACATAAAAAGATGCTCAACATCACTATCATTTGAGAAATACAAATCAAAGCTACAATGAGATAATCACCCCATACTGGTCAGAATGGCCATCATCAAAAAGTCTACAAATAATAAATGCTGGAGAGGGTGTGGAGAAAAAGGAACCCTGCTACACTATTGGTGGGAATGTAGTTTTGTGCAGCCATTATGGAAAACAGTATGGAGATTCCTTAAAGAACTGAAAATAGACTTAGTAAGATCCAGCAGTCCCACTCCTGGGCATATATCTGGAGGAAACTCTAATTCAAAGAGATATACGCACCTCAATGTTCCTAGCAGCACTATTTACAATAGCCAAGACATGGAAGCAACCTAAATGTCCACTGACAGATGACTGGATAAAGAAGTTGTGGTATATATACATATAATGGAATACTACTATGCCATAAAAAAGAGTAAAATAATGCCATTTGTAGCAACATGGATGGACTTGGAGACTGTCATACTAAGTGAAGTAAGTCAGGCAGAGAAAGAAAAACACCATATGATACTACTTACATATAGACTCTAAAAAGAAAAGACTCAAATGAACTTATTTTCAAAACAGAAACAGACTCACAGACATAGAAAACGAACTTACAGTTACCAGGGGGGAAAAGAGGTGGGGGAGAGATCAATTGGGTGTTTGGGATTTGTAGATACTAACTACTACATACAAAACAGATAAACAACAAGGTCCTGCTGTATAGCACATGGAACTATATTCAATACCTCGTAATGGCCTATAATGAAAAAGAATATGAAAAGGAATACGTATTTATTTATTGTGTAAATGAGTCACTATGCTGTATGTCAGAAATTAACACAACATTGTAAATTGACTATACTTCAATTTTTAAAAAGTGGTGTATACTAACGGACTAATATTTAATAAAATGATAATTTTTACCATTTCAAAAAAAAAGTATATGGGAGGATATGGGGTGGGGGAAACCCAAAACTGATTAGTACCACATTATGTCTTTGATTAAATTTTAGTGGGAAAATCATTATTTAACAACTTATATTTGTTTCATTGATAAAGTCTTTCAAAACACTGTGGTATGCACTGGGTGGGCTGGCAGGCTGCTCAGATATGGCCCCCAAGGGCCCCGTGTCTGCTGAAGTCACCCCAGCATAGCTCCTCAACAGCTTAGATTTCGAACATCAGCATGGCTGGGTGTCTCTCTGTGCTTCAGTGGGCAAGCTGGAGCTTTGGGCCCAACTTGACGTCAGAAACTCATGAGCTGGGCAGACCTAAGCAAGTTTAGTTTAGTTTTGTCTTTTTTAAAAGATTTATGGGTCTCCATTTTCTCGTTTGTAAAATAACGACTTTTCATACCTCATCAGTTTGTCATGAGGATTAAATGAGTTAATTCATGTACAGTGCTTAGAATAATGCTTGGAACTTAGTACCCAGTAAATTATTATTCTTGGATCAAGCCAAGGGATTCCGTCTTACACTGCTGAAACTTAGAAGAGACTGATGTATAAACCAGATGTCAGTTTATTAATTTATCACTAGAAATATAGCCAACAGGGGGCCTGAAAATCCATCTTTACTGATCAGTACATTCTTTTTGGGTGAGAAAGGCCACACAAACCAAGTCACAAGCCAAAGAAACCAGATGGGGTGGAATGGAGTCAGGGAGTTAGTGGATTGAACTGAGGGGCCAGTGGTGTCAAGCTGTGATGGACTAAGGCATCCAGTGCTGCTGAAGGGCAAGACCTTCTAAAGGGACAAGTCACAAGATAGAGTCTGCCTCCTCTCAGGCTGGTCTGGGGACCCAATGACCAATGCTTGGTCTCTCACACCCTCCCCCCTGCATTGCAGGATTCTGGCCTTCTTGATTTGAACCACATTTCGTGTGCTCTTCCAGTAACTTGTGCTCTTCTCTAGCTAAAGGTACCCTTTAAAAAACCCTGCTGGGTCTTAAATGTACCAACCCTGAGACACACATTCACCAGCAAACCACAACCTCTTGAATGACTTCTACATCTCACCACTGTTTGCTGGTTCTTATTAGTTTTACCCTAAGACAACTCTTCTTCCAAGTTCTGGGCATGCCATACCTATGTTCTTACTGCAGAGTTCATGCGGGAGGAACAATAAGAAATCTGTGGTGGTGAGAAGGTTCAGTATGACTATGCTCAAAGGCCTCTAGCAGTCAAGAAAAACCTAGACTCCTACACTGATGGAGAGTCACTAGCTAGGAACAAAGTATTGAATGATGGAACAGACTGAGTATAAAATATTCATAAAGAACTAGAGGGGATAAGTATGTCTGTGTGTAGAAGAATTCAAAGAAAATATCTCTGCAGTGGGAGAAGAATCCAACAAGGGGTCCCTTCTAGGCCCAAGGAACAAAAGAGGAGGTGTGGGTACCTGTCTATTTAGTTGAGGCACCAGGACTAAACTTTCAGCCGCAAGGCATTGTAAGCAATGTCTCACTAAAAATCAGTAAAGCAGTGAAGGGCACAACAAATACTAATAATCATAATGGCTAACAATTATGGAACTACTAGGAACCATAAGAGTTTTGCTTGTATTATCTGATTTAATATTCACCATTACCTTACCATTGGTCCATAACGATGATTATTCTTCCCATTTTACAGATAAGGAAACCGAGGCACTGAGAGGCTTAATTTGCTGAGATCACGCAGCTATTAGATAATAGAATCCAGACTCAAATACAGTTCTGATTCCAGAGCTAGCTCCCTAATTTAAAAGTTTAAAACAGGTTATAGTCAGTCCCCCTCATTCTGGGTTCAAAATACTTTCTTAAAAGGACAGGAGGGCACGTGACCCTGGGTATGCTCACCCGCATGTGTGACAGGAGTCACCCATTGTATGAACAGCTATGGAACAAAGTTGAGAACAGTCTAAATGGAAAGAAGTAACAAGGCTGGGGACCCAGACACCTTGATTCTTGCCCCATATCTGCATGCACAGAGCTATCTGAACCTAAGCAAGACACTTAACATCTTTCAGCTTCAAGCTTCTGTTTTATTAAATGGGAATAACTCAGCAGGAGCCACATATCACAAGATTATTGAGAAGACCAAAAAAGAACATTTGTGAAAGTATTCCTCAGTGTTAAGAATGCAGTAGCATGGGTTGACAAATATTTATTATAATTTAGGGTTTCAAAGTTCTCTCTACATACAGTACAGCAGAAATCACTTCCAAACCACCCATTTATTTAACATAAAGAAAAGGGAAACCTAGAATTACTGACAGGGCACAATCTATACATGTTATTAGAATGGGCTTAAATTGCATGGTGATTTCTGCCTCACCCCATGCAACTCAGCAGGTGCCAGGCAGAGTCTCATGCTGTTTTCCAGCATTTGTGCTTGCTGATACCCGGCCCGGCAGATGAGGGCTGTGGGGTGCACTCCTCGGGCCATCATCTTGATGATGGCCTAGAGTGTGTGTGTGTGTGCAGGTGCCAGTCTGTCTCCAGAGTAGGCTCCCAGCTGCTCTCCCACCACTCCTTCCATGAAATGACACCCTTGGATCCATGGCACTTCACGGTTCACAAAAAAATGTAGTCAGTTTACACAGGACCTTGTCTCATTTAATCCCTCCTGCTAACCAAGAAGGGGGCAAGACAAATTTATGTCATGCCCATTTTATGCATAAGGATAATTTACTCAGGAGAGGTTGATTTGCCTAAAACACAGTCCAGTGGCAGAACTGGGCTAATCCCAGTGCGTGACTCATCCACTGTACCACGTTTTTAATTGTTTAATTAACAGCTGTTCACTGAGCATCTAATATGTGCCAGCCACTGTGCCAGGTACTTCTACTCATCAGCTTGCTCTCCTGAGAGAAGCTTGTTCAAATCCTTCACCTCCCACCCTCCATCCCATGTAATAGATGAGTTTTAAGTGATGGGATTAACCAACCCTCACTATTCAACACATGGCACTAGGGACTGAGCGGTAGACAGTGTGACCAGAGCTGTGCTCTAGAGCCAGACTGTCCTAAATCCCTCCATGCCAACTCCATTTACTCGTCTATAAAATGGGGATAGTAACTGGGCCAGTTCGTAGGGTTGTGAGGATTGACGTGGTGCAGGTGAAGCAGTTTCTACAGTGCCTGTTACGTAACAAGAGCCCAATAACTATCAACTGTCATTATTCCCTTAACATTGTCTTGAAAGAAAACAAGGCGACGTTTAAAAACAAATGAAAACTGGCCCCTTTAATCTGTCTTACGTCCCAAAGCTTTCAAGACTTTGGCCCAGAAAAAGGGGTCCTCCCTCCTCTAGGCAGAGCTCACACGCCCTTGCTGAGCCTGCACCGTCCTCCAAAGTCTCACCTCCACCTCCGCCGTTCTGACCCCATGTCCTCAGAGCTGGATTTTGGTCATGGCCCCCTTGCTTGTTTCCTGGCCTCTGCACTCTCCTCCAATGTTACTCTCTACTTTTTCTCAAATAATTCCCCCCAAATATTCACTTCTCAAGCGCCTTTACTGAGCACCTCTTTCTGTGCTAGGCACGGTAGTGGCTGCTGTGATGACCTCTCAGGAATGGACTTGCTGCCCGAGCCGCTGAGAGTGCAGACGGCAGCAGCAGGTCCTCAGCGGTCAGCCCCTTAGGGCTAACTGCTAGCTGAAGACAACTTCCTCTCCCAAGGTCACAGCTCCTTCTGGTGGCAGCCAGCATCCAAAGACTGATCATCTCAGCAGAAAAAAGGCCTGACCCATTGCCTCAACTAAGAACAACTCTGCCAGCCTCAGAAGGTGGGGCTGCCTGAGGCTTTTGTTGGGCCTGCACTGCTGCTCAACTTCTCCCTCTGCTAGGCCCTGATGTTGGTCCCAGGAGCACCCCATAATAAATAGCCTGCATGCTGATGATCTCTTCAAGCTACTTCCCAGGGAACCCAACCTGCAACATGGGCACAGGATGCAAAGATGAGCAAGCCAGGGTCTGGCTTTCAAGGGTATCAAGGCCAAGTGGGAACTACAACCTTAATAATGGCAAGCAGCTTACAGTGAGGGACACATAAAGTGCAGTGAAGCCCACTTGGAGGGGGGTGACACTGAGAGGAGTCTGTCACTCCAGGTTTAGCCAGATTTTGGACCCACCGTTAACCTGCTATGATTTCCCACAGATTCTGCCATCTAGGCTGCATGCTTGGGCTGGTACAGAGCCATGGGGCCCTGAGGCTGTTTGGTTTGCATCTTTGGGTGGACCAGACCTGGCCTGGGGAGTGGCTCTTCGTAAGATATCGTGTTCTAAATGACAAACTAGGCCAGGGCATGGCCAATGAGGGTAAACAGCACCTTCTCTTCTTCTCAGCTAAAATTTGCCTGGAAACCAGGGAGAACTCAGCTAAATGTTAGTTTATGTCCAACGAATTTCAAGACAGTTAATTTCACACTGAAATAAACAACTGACTGGCATCTCTGAGCACCCTGTAGATTGTTATGGGAAAGACCCCTGATCTCACTGCACGCCTGCACTCTGCCCCCCAGAGGACCAGCCAGGTTGCCTGAGAAGGCGTTGGGGAGTGTGATAAGGCCAGCAGAAGCACGGAGGCCAGGATTTCAATGAGTTCACACAATGAGGCCTTTCAACCTGGCCAGCTCCTGACTGGCTTTAAGGCCTGACTCCGGCAAGGCAGCTCCAGCTCAGCAGCTGGAGGGACCAGCTTTCCAATGGTTGGAGCTGGACAGGCTCTCCCTAGTCGTGTCAGATTCCTCTCTGCTCTTCGCCCTGTGCTTTCTGGAATGGAGCTGGCTGACACTGCCTACATTTTCTACCCCTCAAGACAACCATCTTCTGCCAGTTCTCCTCTAACCCCGCAAAGCTCACCTTACACACTTATTATAGGGTCTTTCTTAGCTGCTGCAATTCATTCATCCCAACTTTTTACAGGGTGGCAGCATAGGCCTGTATTGTCACATGTACAGGCCCTTATTGAATGAAATCATAAAACTGGAAGCGATCTAGTGCTGCCTCCTACCTGAAGAGCCCTTCTCTAGTGGGCAGCAGGGCTGGACAGTCCCAGAGGCCAGGACGTCACTCTCAGAAGGCAACCTGAACTATTAAGAAAGTTTTTCTTTCCTTTCAGCCAAACTGGCCTACCACTGGAGTCACTCAAGAGAAAATTTACTTTTTCCAAACGATGTCCTCCAAATCAGTGGTCACACAAGAATCGCTTTGAGTGCTTATGTATTATGCCGAGGAGGTGTTCAGAAAGGTCAATTTGTTGTGGTTACTCAGCTAATGTTGGTGACCCTTTTCACTACCAGTAATAGAGCTGGCATTTGATCGCAGATCCAACTCCAGGGCTCTTCATACACAAAGTCACCTCCAAAGAAGCAGATTCTATGTCACAGAACCCTTCAGCTGCACTTCCAGGGACCCTAAAGATTGGGAGAACTCATATAGGGACCACAAGCTGTTGAGGGGTGAGAGGGCCTGAGAACGTGGCAAATAGGCAGGCCCACACCCTACACCAGGTGGCCTCGACTATCTGAGGTTGGAAGAGAGTGGCAGGACTGAGAAAAGGCTCTCCGAGCTGTGAGGTGCACGTGGCCACAGATGTGCCTGTAAGAATGCCTCCTCTGGACTCCTGAGGGAGGCTGAGGAGGCAGGAAGATTAATGACCCTTCTCCTGGCTTCAGAGTCCATCAGTCCAGAGCCTTCCCAGCATTATTCTGCTTTACCCCCAACACAGGTTGTGTCCTCCCCAGCTGTACCACAGTACCACAGTGCCCTGTTAAGACTCCTTGCTTGAGTTCTGCAATGACAGTTCTCCATGAAGCCAACAAGTTCCTTCTGTTGACGCTGGTTTCTCCAATGTCATTAAGAGAAAAACAACCTCTCTACTTTAGTATCTTCTATACAACAATTACATACAGCAGCTGAGTATCCAAAAAATAGTATTTATAAATCTTACTACTTCTGTTAAACAGCTCCTCTGCTTTTAAATATTGTTTAGTTTGAAACAAAAGTGTTCTCTTTCTTCACCTTAGACCTCAAGTCCCTACTTTCCAGGCTCCTCCCACATGGTTAAAGGAAAAATAAAGAACATGAAACCACCCAAGCAAAATGGAGACAAACACTGTTTCTCAGTTTCTCTTTAGCCTTGAAGGGTCCACACCAGAGAAACAGAGTGAGCCTGGGCCGGGGAGAACAGCACTGCAGTGATGTAATACACTGCCCTTTATTTCACCAGCTCCAACCACTATAAGGCCAAGCCCCTGTGGCTTTAATGACATCTCTGCCCAGGGGCAAGGCTGATGCTGCTATGGCCTCCTCAGTATGACTGACAAAGTGTCACAGGAAAAATGCCAAATCAGGGAGTCCACACTCCTTAACAGTGGGCAAACACTGAAGCCCTGTCAGGGAGCAGCACAGATGAGGCAAGGAAGATGCAGGGAGATTTAATTTACACAGCAGCCACTCAGGGCCCAGTTACAGCTGGGGCAGTGGCAGGGATCTAAAATCCCAGAGGGCACCCCCTACTCCTTTCCCCTTGGAAGACCAGTCCTCAAAGACCCTTAGATGGGGCTCCCTGGGTTGCAGAGAGGATGCTCCAGTCAAAAGGAGAGTTTGGGAATAAGGCTGTCCCCAAAGTTGGGGGAAGTCTATGGCCCAGAGATGGTTGCCTACGTGATGTCCCAGGGGTCTGAGAGACCAGTCCATGTCCTGGGCACAGTCCTCAGCCTGGTGGCCCTAGAGGAAGCCCTCATGGCGGAACTGTTCCTGGAGAAGGGCGCAGTACTGATCAAATCCCCCCTCGACCCGGGTGACTCCACCTCCTTCGCACACCCACAACTCCCGGCACACCATCCGGATGAAGCGCTCGTCATGGGACACCAGAATCACACCACCCTGAAAGACAGAAGACCAGGGTGCACTCAGAGGGGCCCAAAGGGGTGCTGAGGCCTGGGGAAGAGTGGGCAGTGTGAAGGCACACTCACCCTGAAATTGTTGAGAGCACGGCCCAGAGCTTCAATTGTCTCCATATCCAGGTGGTTTGTGGGTTCATCCAGAATGTAGAAGTTGGGGCTGGAAGGCAGAACCCAGGAACGTTGGCAGTTATGGGTGTTGGGAGAAAATAAACTCCGATATGAAGGCAAGACAATCATTTCTATCAGGTAAGAGCGGGAAAGGGGAGGGCAAAGTTCTAGAAAACGACGCCTCACCAGGGCATGGTCATCTGAGCAAAGGCCACTCGGCTCTTCTGGCCCCCAGACAAGCTGGCAACAGGGCGCACAGCCAGTTCTCCAGAGATGCCATACCGGCCCAGCTGGTGACGGTACTCCTCCTCAGGCCGTCCTGGAACAGGCCCCACCCCACCATGTGGGTTCTTGGCCCAAACTCACTCCCTTCACCTTCCCCTCAGTCCCAACCCAATGCCCTACGCCTAGACTTGGTGGGCTGTTGAGCAACCAAAGGTAGGCCTAACTGTAAGCATTCAGAACAAGGCCCCCTTTCCTCAACTCAAATCTGTAACGCACCAGGGAACTTGCGTGCCAGCAGTTCCACAGCACTGACATTCAGGTCCAGCTGCTCCACGTGGTGCTGGCTGAAATAGCCAATCTTCAGATTCCTGCAGGCAGAAGTGAAGGTGGAGAGAGGAGAGAGAAGGCAATGACCATAAAGGAGTGCAGTTACAGCATATGATTTGTTGGAGAATGGAGGTGTGGGCCCCACCTGTGAGCATGTCTGATCCCCCGAACAGGAGCTAGGTCCCCCAGAAGCAGCTTTAGCATGGTAGACTTCCCAGCTCCATTCTCCCCAACCTGTAAGAAGAAACACAAGAAGGTAGACAGCATATGTGTGCAGGATACAGAAGGGAAGGAGATGAGAATGGATCCCGGTAGTCCCAGTAACTCCAACAACTAAAAAAATTTTTTAAGGAACTGTAGAGAAAAATGAAGGAAGTAGTAAAGATGTAAGGGTGTCAATATCCAAGTATCCACTAAGTACAGAGGAATTAACTCTTCCAATAACCAAGTGAGGTAGACATTATCTCCATTTTAAGGATGAGGAAGTAACCAAGCTAGGAAATAGTTAGAATCTGAAGTCTGACCCTGAAGCCCATATTCTCCCCTCTACGTTCCATGGTTCCAGAGCTGAGACCAATAAGACAAAGTACTGTTCTGAGTAGTCACAAAATACCACATGGCAGGCTCTTCATCTATCCTGCAGAGCAGCCCTGTGAGGCTGCAGGAGGGGGCTAGTATAAACACAGCAAAGTCCTTGGCCCGGGCACTGACTCCTGCTCCTGGGGACCTCCTCCCTTTGTAGCCCCAGAATCTGGGCCAATCCACATCACGTATTGGGGTGGGAGAGTCCAGTTCCAGCTCATGGAACAGAGAAACAGCAACCATACCACACAGATGCGGGATTCAAGATCAGCAGAGATGGAGAGACGGCTGAAGATGACGTGCTTAGGATCATAGTAGAAATCCACCTCATCCAGTTGCAGAATTGGTGGTGAGAATTTCTCAAACCCATCAGGGAACCTACAGGTGGGGATGGGGAGCATAAGGGTGGCCAGAAACAAGAGCTTCCCCACCTGCCCCTCTGGCCCAGCACTCACTTCATCACTACCTCCAACTCCTTGTCCACGGGTTTCAGCTCCGGTCTGAGGAGAGAGGGGAAGACTAGATATATGACTTTAAAAAGTAACTGTTCTTGTCACACAAGTAATATATATGCTAGAAAAATAGGATTATCCTTTTTGTAGTTTTTCGTCCTCTCAATTAGTATACTCTGATATGTGTTTCAAGGTCACAAAATCCTATGCTTTATGATTTTATGTTCCCCTACCACTAGCACATCTAGAAATGTTTCAAGATTAAACCTCCAGGGGGAGGGATATAGCTCAGTGGTGGAGTGCATGTTTAGCATGCACAAGATCCTGGGTTCAATCCAGTACTTCCATTAAAAATAAATAAGTAAATAAATAAATAAATAAAAGATTAATAAGCCTCCAATGCTCTCCTGGGTATATAGCTGAAAACTGAAGACACTAATTCAAAAGGATACAAGCACCCCCAAAACACCCAAACAAACAAAAAATGATACAAGCACCCCAATGTTCACAGCAGCCTTATTTACAATAGCTAAGACATGGAAACAACCTAAGTGTCCACATCAGATGAATGCGTAAAGATACGGTATATATATGCATGTGTGCGTGTGCACGTGTGTGTGTGTAGGAGGTGGATAAACTGGAATCCTCATACATTGCTGGTAGGAATGTAAAACAGTGCAGCTGCTTTAAAAAACAGTTTGAAGTTCCTCAAAAATTTAAACGTAGAATTACCATGTAACCTAGCAATTTCACTCCGAGGTATGTACCCAAGAGAACAGAAAATGTATGTCCACACAAAAACTTATACACAAATGTTCACAACATTATTCAAAAGAGCCAAAAAGGGGAAACAATCCAAATGTCCACCAACTGATGAATCGATAAACAAATGTGGACTATCCATACAATGGAATATTATCTGGTCATTAGAGGAATGAAGTACTAATTCATGCTACAACATGGATGAACCTCAAAAACATGGTGCTAAGCAAAAGAAACCAGACACATTTATGATTCCATTATATGAAATACCTAGAATAAGCAAATATATAGAGACAGAAAGAAGTCTGGTGGTTGCCTAGGCCTAGGGGCAAGATTAACTCTCCAAGAGCAGTATAGAATACTCTGCTTTCCTGCAGGGGATGAAGCTAAGGTTGGTTTCTAGAAAGGGGAGACCTAGAATGGCAGGGCAAGGAGTGGCCTGCAAAATGAGGGAAGAAATTAAAAGAAGAGGAGTTAGGGCCTTGTCAAGGACAATGTACTCACAGCTTCTCCAGCATCTTGAGTTTACTCTGCACTTGAGAGGCTCTGTTTGCGTTGTAGCGAAACCGGTCAATGAAGACCTGCAAGTGGATGAGTTCAGGCATAGTCAGGCCCCCTCACTCCCCACAACTCTAACACTCATGGGAAGGGGTGGGCCCCTAGCCCTGCCTTTTCCCACACCTGGATATGCTGGCGATACTGCTGCTGGGCCTCATATTCACGCTGCTGATTGAGCAGCCGCTCCTGCTTGCTCTTGATGAAGGTCTCAAAGTCTCCACGGTAACCATCTAGCCGCTGGCTGTGCAGGTGGATAATGTCTGTGGCTATGGCATTCAGGAAGTTGCGGTCATGGGAGACAACCAGGATGGTAGAGGGCCATGTCTGGGGGGGGGGGTCACAGGATGGCAGGCCCAGTTTGGGAGGGCAGTCAGCTCCCAAACCCTAGCAGCCTCGGAAGCAGGCCTTCTCCAGACCTACTCCAGCACCTGGAGACACTCACCTGCAGGTAATTCTCCAGCCACAGGATGGCCCTTACATCCAGCATGTTTGTGGGTTCTGGAAAAGTGGTGAGGACACATTGGGATTGAAGGACTAGAGAACTAGAAATTTGGATGATGCCACCCTTCTGTACCCTGCACCCCAAAGTCAGGGTGCCCCCATTTAGAACTCACCATCTAACAGCAGCAGATCTGGCCTATGGAAAAGAAGAATGCACAGCCTGAGGTTTTGGGTTAGCCACTTGTTGCCACCTCCCAGGAGCCAAGTCCATCCTTCACAGTAGCCATACACAGTCCCAGAAGACTCACCTAGCAAACAGAGCCCGGGCCAGGGCCAGTCTCATCCTCCAGCCACCTGAAAACTCCCTAAGAGAGACAGAACCACATCAGGGCAAGTGTTCATGAGAACGGGGGGGGGGGGGGGGGCAGAGCCAACAGTGTTCAGAGTCAAGAATGGTAAGGGCCACTCACCGGGTGGGCTGCTGCTGCATTTTAGGGGTAAAGCCAAGCCCAGCAAGAATGACTGATGCCCTAGGAGTGAAGAAATTCAGGAACCTGGTTGGAACAGGTAACAGAAGGGAGAGAGGAAATCTAAAGGAAGGAAGGGGGATTTTAAATACCTGGCAGGGGCTTTGTCAGCTTCAATCTCTTCCAGTTTGGCATAGATTTCTGCGAGCTGTGCAGCTTCTGAGCCCTCAGCCCTAGAATGAGGGGACAGCAATCAGCCTGAGTGGGGGCAGTCTACGAGTTTATCCTGTACCCCAGGATGGCTGGAAAGTAGGCCACTGGCTGCCCTGTTGCCAGGACAGGAACAGAGTAGAGGAAGGACTTGCTCATAGCAGTGAGCACAACGGGTACTGTGGCAGGAACAAGGGATTTACAGCCCCACAGCACCAAGTACTAAGATGCGCTGCTTAATAGGCTGGGCATACGAACTGTGAATTGTGCCAGCATGGCAGTCACTCTGTGAAGCACAGCTGCAGCTGGTCATTCCCTCGCCCAGAGCCCTCACCTGCCGGCAGCAACCTGGGCACTGAGCTCCCGCTCCTGTCGTAGGAGATCTTCTCGCACGGTGTCACTCTCCAGCACACTCTGTAGGGCAGGGGTGTCATCTCCAGCAACCTCCTGCTCTACATGCAGGAGGGAAATGTGGGCTGGAACCCGCAGGCTCCGGGTGGCCAGCATCTTCAGTAGTGTTGTCTTTCCCAACCCATTCCGACCCACCAGCCCATAGCGGCGGCCCCACGCCAGGTTCACATCTGCTCCAGCCAGCAGTACCCTGCAGGGGTAGTAGGAAAAAGACAAAGGATGATCTAGAGATATGTGCACAGCAAGTTTAACAACAGAAATCTATTTTTAGTCCCAATCCATCTCTCCAAATTCTCCTTTATTTGGAAAAGAAAACATTACTCCACCCCATTGCCACTCACCTATCACCAAAAGACACATCAAAGTTCTCAATTCGAACATCGTAGGATTTGTTCTTGCCAGATGATTCCAGTCGACTCTCCTTTCTGCTGCCTGCCTGGCTGGCTGATGCCTCTTCCAAGACTCTTTTAAAGGGAGAAATGAATGGCTTTAGCACTCCCAACCACCCTTCTGTCCCAGTAGAGACCTCTCTGCTCTCTTCTCAGCCCTTCTCACTAAACTCACAGAGGGTTGCTGGTCTTGAGTGTGTCCTTCTCTGAGCGCTTCTCCTGCTTTGCTTTCAGTCGAGCCTCAGCCTTCTCTAGCTTCTTTGCATCCACTGTCTAAAGATCCAAACATAACCATTTCACCCTAGGGTGTTGGCTCAGAGACTCAGGGAAAGACAATTAGAAATTCCCCAGAAAGATACTCCGGTATTTAGAGACAGTCAACTCCCACCCTCACCATAGACACAGCCCCCTCCCTTTCTTTCTCCTCCCCCTCCTCACCGAGGACTGTTCTCTCTTTAGCAGTCCTGGAAGTTTGGTGCCATAGTCTGTAAGCGATAAGAAAAGCAGTCACCTTCTCCCTGAGGGAAGGGAAACTAACACTCTGAGTGGCTAATATGAAACCAGACAGAGACACATTTAAAGGAAAGCCCTACAAATCCTGTAGGTAGGTTATCATCCTCTCAACACTTCAAAACAAAACAAAACAAAAACCAAACTCACAGATTAAGGATACAAAGGCTGAAGCAGAAAAGCAACTTTTACAAGATCATGTAGTTGATTAGTAAGTCACAAAATTGGGGATAGAATCGAAGTCTGTTCAGCTCCAAGGCCCATATGCTTCCTACCATACCCAAGAGCTTGGAGAACTCTCCAATCCTAATCTCTTTATTAACGGACTCATTTACCCTCAGTAAAAACATCAACTAGCTCCTATAATCATGTCCTGTGGGAAAGAAGTACCAAGAGTCCTGAGCTCCAGGGGGCAGGTGGCTAACGGGTGCAGGCTGAGGAAATGACAGAGGGCAGCTCTGTCTTACCGTAGTTCTCTGTTATCTTTGACAACTGGATGGGGGCATCTAGTAGCATCTGGCTGTTTCTCTGGCTCTGTGGCTCAGTCCTTGAGAGTAGGGATAGAAAGCAAACAGTTAGGAGTTGAAGGAAAAGCTCTATGGTCATCAGATCTTCCCCTCACGCCTTGTCTCCTGACCGTCCGCCCTCGCATCGCCCCCACGAATCCCCCTGCCCTGACACGTACAGGCGTAGAGTGTTGTACATGCGCTGGCACACGGCCCTGATGGCCGCGTCATCCTTGCTGTCTCCGGACACCTCTTGCAACAATTCCCCCACAGCTTCCACCAGGTCATCCACAGACTCGAAGTCCGCGCTGCCGCTATGCAAGACGCCTAGGCCAGGCATGGCAAGACAAGGAAGATACCGGGTAGGGTGGACATACAAGCAGTTTTAGTCTCCGAACTGCGGCCCCAAGAGGGGCCCCAAACATAACCGGCCCTCGGGACAAGAGGTCACGCAGAGGAGAGGCCTAGCAGCGGTCCCCAGCACTGCCCTCCCTTAGTCCTTCCCTCTCGACTTCCACTTTGGTACCCCCAGCGCGTTGATTCGGTTCGGCTCACCAGTAACGTAGTCGAAGACCTGTACATCAATTTCGGGGAACTCGCTCCGCAGGATTTCAGCACAAGTCGCCATGTTCCAGTCCGGCTCCCGTCGGCGCAGTCGCCGTGCGACCTCGGCCAAGGCCCGCCCCCTGTTCCCCGAAAGCTCGCGCTTCCTTCCAAAGCGCATGCGTACAGTGACGTAAGAAAGGCGCGGAGCGCGCAGAGCTCGGTGGGCAGGGTGAACCGAGTTTGAGGAACCGCACGCTAGCGCCGCTCAGCGTCTTCGCCGGGCCGCACTCTCTGCGCTTGCGCAAGCCTTTCCACTGAAAAATTAGCCACATGTGCGGTTCTCGCTGCCTCCTGGGAGGTGGCTATCCTGAAGGCGGCGGGGGTGGGGTGCAGGGGAGCTCGCGGTTTATCAGGGCGCGAGACAGTGACGGCCCGGCGTGTGGAAACCTTCCGAGAAGGGCGATTGATAAAGTACACTGGCCTCGCTAAGATTCTGTATGCTCCTTTGAGGCACGCCAGCCGGTGCGCGCCCAGCCGAATCCATTTTGGAGCCCGCTTAGGGCTTTGCTGACTCACGCTCGTCCCTGAGCTCTCGGAAGCCCCTGGTGCAGTTCTGTGCGGCCATGGGTCTTGTTCCGGTTTCTGAGGGCCGGCGGGCTGCTATTTCGGTCGGGTGGCCACCTCGCCCGCGACCTGCACTCTATCTTTTCATACTTGACAGCTCAGCGAACCTAAGTGAATTATGCCCTTTGGTCCCTCCACCATCCCGGGGCACGACCTCACTGACCGCCACAGGGCAAGAAAACCAGATCGACAAGGCCTGTAAATTCTTTAGTTTTTATTCCCGGCTTACACCCGAAGACTTCACACCCTAAATCTCAGTGACTCTAAAAGGCTATTGCCTTATTCACTGACTTCCCCAAGTAGAAGTTAGAATTTTCCCCAAATGATGCTACTGTTTCACATTAACGTGAATATTCTTCCAGCCAGGCTTTAAAATTGTCACCAGAAAATCACATCATTATCCATTAATCCTTCTGTCACTGTGAAGAATCAATCCTGATATTTGAAACGACGTTTCAAAAGCTATTAAGCCTCTCGCTTTAATAACCATTTTATAGGAAACACAGGGAAAGAGAAATTCTGACCAGGAAACTACAGAAGAATCTGGTTTCTTCAACAACTCTACAAGAGCTGAGGGAGAACCTGTGGTTTTTAAGATTTAAGAAGCATTCACTAACTATAATGGACCTTATTTGGATCCAGATGTTAAGTTGTGAAAAATTTTATAAGACTTGGATTAAGCCTGAACACAGATTGGATGTAGTATTAAGGAACTGACCATGAGTTGATATAACTGAAGCTGTTGAACAACCATGATGGGACATAGGGGTTCATTATATACTTTCTACCTGCTTATGTTTTAAATTTTCTCTAATAGATTTTTTTAGGTTTAAAGAGGCTGAGATCAAGCAAGGGAAAACTGGTGATGCACCTAAGCAGAATACAGAACACTCCCCTCAGGGGTCCACTCACCACACAATTCTTTACAGAGGGGGAGGTATAAAAGGGAGGAATTTTCTAAGAGGCCTGGGGGGGGGTCAAATCTTTGCTTTTACAACCCACACACTGAGGTCGGGAAGCCTGAGTAACTGGGAAGAGGATGGAATTAAGAGGCGAGTTTCTACGGATGGCTGGAAAGACCAAAGGTAAACCTTGCTTAATCTATGTTAATTGGAAAAATACCTGCCTAAAGCTGAGAATTATTTTTGGGAAAGAATCTCTTCCCTCAGGGGACTGGGGCTAGGTGGGGCTGCTTGCCCTTGAGGCTATTTTCTCAGAGGAGACAGGAGATCTGGGGCTAACACCTGCCAGGATAAGGGCTTGGGTGGCCCCAAGGGACCTAATAATAGAGATGAGACAAAGGAAGCAAGTTTAGAATAGAAAATTCTACTCAAGGCAGGTGGTGTGAGACAGGGGAGGAGCAGTCCCACCAGATCCCCAACCCACACAGCCCCCACATTGACACTTAGCCAACAACTCCATTCTACAGAGTTTATTGGGTTTATAACTGGACGAAGTCACACGTGTACAAAACGAAGCTCACACTATCCCAAAGCAGAGTAGGAACTGAGGGCTGGGGATCCATTACTGGCCTTTGGGGGAGCTCCGAGGTGAGGGGCAGCCAACCCTCCCACTCCAGAGAGATGTGGCCACAGGGGAGGGGAGGAGAGGAGCCCAACTGGCTTTGGTCACAGAACTCAGAGCCTGGCATTGGGTCAGGGCAGGCAGATGGATGGAGGGACAGGAGCCTCAGAAACCGCCCTGCCCAGGGAGCCCAGGGAGCCCAGGGACTGCTCCACCAGTCCTGCTCACAATGTGGTTGGTCCAGACCTAGACTCAGGGGCTGGTGCAAAGGGAAGGCAGCAAAGCAAGAGGGAAGAGACATTGATGTGTGATGGCCAAGGGCACCCAGACCTGTGGAAGAGGGTAGGTGGGGAGGCGGGCTAGCTGCCATTAGGCAGCTAGCAGCGGGTCTCATAAATGCCGCTGCGGCCAATGTAGCGCACCCATTTGATGACATCGTGGTCGCTGTAGTTCAGCTTCGGTTCAAACACCTTCAAGTAGCGCACCTTGAGGCCAGAAGGCGCGAATGGCACCTGGGTAAGGGATAGCTCCAGTTAGGAATGTGGCCTTCCTCTCACAGCCACTCGGGAAAGTTCCAAAGCCCTGCTGCCCTACCTCATCTCTCACGTTTGAATGACTGGGGCCCTGAAAAAAGCTGGTGGGGGGGGAGTTGGGGTAGTGAGAGGTCCTCTGAGAGGTTACTAAAGAAAGCATATCCAAAAGTAACTAGCAATCATTTGGGTTTGCAGTCAGGCCTTGCATGTGAAAACTTGAATCAATTCCTTCAATCAGCAGGTGGCAGCAACCAAAGACCTGCCTTAGAACATACTTATCCTACTCAATATTATGGACTTAAACAATAAGGTGGAGAAAATTACATGTCTAACATGCACAAAGCAAAGTCAGCCCATTTTCCTGTCTGTAAGTAAGGTTTGTGTCTCATCTGGCATGCAAGCAATCTAAATTTTTCTCAACAACTGTTTTATGACAAGCCAAAAGAAGTCAAAGATTTTTGTCAGTGTGAATAGCAATTTTTTGTAGGAGGCCTGAGTGGGGTAGAAATGGGTCTGCGAACTGAAGTCACTTCTCTAGGCCTCAGTTTCCTCATCTACAAGGTGATAAGATGCAGAGGTTGATTTGAATGATCTCTAAAGGCTTTCCTAGCACACCCTGCTGTGACTCTAGGCCCCTTCTATGCCATACCTCAAAGTTCATGGAAATGGGGGGTCGAGCCCATTTCTTCTTGTCGTTGGTGGGCAGAAGCTCAATCTCAGCACTGATCTGTGATTCCTTCATGCCTGCCATGCGCTTGATCCTGGGAACACAAGGACAATGGGCAGCAAATGCCTCTGGTAGCTTGGAAGAACTTCAAGGTGGGTTGCTCCTTGGTAGGGGAGGCGCAGGGAAGAGAACCAAGGAGCCAGGACAAGGAAATGTGGTGAGGACTCTGATAACTCTTGCTATGAAACGTGGGTCTGTTATTCCTTCAGCACTGTGGGCTGTGGTCCCTGCTTAGATACATGGCCATTCTATCCCTTGCTCACTGTCTACAGAGATATTACAAGGGCAAATGGAGAAATGTTAAAGAATCTTGATAAATGCATGCATGCACCCTCGTGCCAGCATGTGCACACTCACACGCAGGTGTAAGGGATGACAACACAAGCAGAGGCTCTTGGAGAACCCTCACAACACACCTTTCACCCCCATCCCCCTCCACATATACACACAGAGGACTAAATGTGAAACTTAAGGAGGGTACACCAAGGCATCTTGAGCCCTGCTGTGGCCTCATGAGGGAGACTCACTTCCACACGATGGCATTCTCGCTGGCCTTGTACTTGGCCTTCCCCTTCATGCAGATCACCTGCACCCCGCTGGTGTTCAGTGGGGTTGGGATCCTCACCTAGAAGTGACAGACCTGTCAGGGAGCTCTGTCAAGACCTGACATCAGCTGCCTTTATTCCTGGAGACAAGTACTTCCTCCTCCCCAAGTCCCTTATCCTCACCTCAATCTTCTGAGCCAGTAGTGAGGGCTTGAAGTTGGACTTAATGACCACCTTGACCTCCAGCTTGGTGCGTCCCACTTCCCGCACTAGTGGGATCACTCGGAAAGGAAGGATGATGTCCTTGGTGGTACGATACCTTTAGGGATGTGAAACCTTTAGGACAGCAGAGCCTGTCCTTCTCCCTCTCCCCACTCTCTGCCAACAGCATCCCCTGCTCCTCACACCCCAATGGCACCTCATGAGCTCAAATTCTCCATCTGGTGGGATGAAGCTGATGCTGCGTTCAGAGTCAAACTTGCTGAGTCGCACACACTGGTGGAAGGTGCAGTCATCAATGGCAATTGATTGCTTCCCGCTGCAAGCAGGGGCAAATGAGCACCTCATTGGTACAGGAGAGTGGCAGGAGAGAGTCAGGCTGGGAGACTTCCCTACCCCCAAAGGCTGCCAGAGCCTAGATGAGGCTTGCACTGTAGTCTATGCAAAGCTGCCAGAATGCAGCTTTCTGACTTGGGGGTCCTTGCCCCAGAGTTATGAATGAGTGGGAGCTTTGCAAGCTCATCATCTCTTGAGAGCTCTGCTGCTTGGAGCCAAGAGATTTCAGGCACACTGGGCAGAGGCCACCAATATGTTCAGAAAAGCCTTGGTCCTAAGGACCAAACAAAGGGGCTTACTCTCTGAGTAGGAAGAGGACAATCCCTTCATCTCTCTTAAACATAGATTTTGAGAGCAACCAGCCAAGCACACCCTTGGGAAGAGGGAGTTTGCATTACTGCAGTAATGAAGTCCAGAAGGAACTTGTGATTCACCAGGCTCCGCTCAGCCCTCCAAGGTCCACCCTCTCCCACCAGTTCCCCCTGCCTCAAGCACCTCTTGCTTGTTTCATCAGCTGTGCCTTTGCCCTGCTTCTCAATGACAATCTTGTCATTCATCCCAAATTTGCACTCGGGCATGCCACTCAGGTAGCTCTTCATCACCACCCGGCCTGACACATGGGCGCTCAGCACCTGCCCTGGTGATGGACAGATAGACAGGAATGGCTGAGTCAGGACCAAGAACTGCCCTGGCCCC